CATTTAAAAGGGGACGAAGGGAGTATGTACTATTGCTATCTCTCCTTTTTATACTATCGTCCCAAAAAACTTTGTCATTTCAAAAATTTTGAACCATGATTTTGATTACTATAATACTCCGTATTATGGAAGTTATAAATTTTATACTTTTATAAAATTACTTTTAACCAAGAATATTTTCATATAATTTTTATATTATAAATAATTTCCAATAAAAAAATATAGTTGATCAAAGTTTTCAAAATGACAAAGTTTTTTGAGAGGAAGATAGTACATTTTAACCACCATTATTTTAACCTCTTTTGACTCCTGAATTTATTATCTTGTTTCCCAATATACTCCGTATGTCACACTCGTATGATTAATGTCCAATTAGAGTGAAACTGTGAAAGTAAACATATACGAAGTATATATTACGTGTATATCCCAATATTACATGCATTTAAGGAGTGTCCCCAATTTAGATTTTAATGGATTTTAAATGATCATTTTAGAATTTCATTACATTCTAGGTGCTCTCAATATGGAGTTCAATGGATTCCATTAAAATATGGATGTCTCCATTATTTGCTCTAATTGATTTTAAACGATTCGATTAAATTTTTATGCATAAAACATTTAATCCAAAATAGCTTCAACCCCCCATGGGATTTCAATAGATTTCACGTATACAGCTCGCCCGTGAATTAGGATCGCCAGGGGTTCCCTCCTCTCTTCAACCACCTTCTTTCCACCGAGCCTTGTAATTCATCTCTTTTTTTTTTAAGTCGGAATGAAAGACAAAACAAAACAAAACTAATATCTAATACTTTCAAGGCCATTTGCATCCTCCCATAAATGTTGTTTCAACCACTCGGGAGATGTGTTGAGAATTCATCGAGGATTCATACTGTTTTCCTTCACTTTGTCTTTCGGATCAACCCAACCACACCTTAGTGGAGGATGATTCATGGAGGATGACACCTAGCTAGGTTGCTGATGAAAATGGTTGAAGCCCTTTAAATCGGACTGCTGAGAATCAATCCAATCGTATCAGCTAGATTGTGATGAAATCTGAAATTATTCAGCTATGGAAGTCAGACTGTTGAGAGTCGGTCAGTCCGAAATAGGTGGGGATTTCAAATTCCATGGATTTCATTAGGAAATAAAAATTCAATAAGATAGGGATGAAATACATAAATTATCTGTTAAAGTATTTGTGTGCATAACTTATTAGCTCCCTCCTATGTAGCACCGTTACGGGTACGCGGAAATGCGAAAACTGGTACGGGGATACGACAAATCTAGAAAATGTAGGATACGGACACGGGGCAATATTTTTAAATATTACTCTCTCTGTTCCCAAAAATACTTCCCACTTTCCTTTTTGGACCGTTCCCAAAAATTCTTCCCACTTTCCCTTTTTGGACAATTTGTGTGGCTCACATTCATTTTACCTTTTTCTCACACAACCACAACCACACATTTCCACTTTATTCCACTTTCTTAATAGGCGTGCCAAGTCAAACCGGGAAGAATTTTTAGGAACGGAGGGAGTAAAAGTTATGGGGGTGTATTTCTAAATATTAAAAGTTACTGGGGTGTGTTTATAAATATTAAAAATACAATTTTTTTTTAAAAAAAATAGACATATATTATCCTCGGACACCTAGGCATTGAAGCATTTTACATTTTCAAGATACTTAGAAATAAGTTCATATTTTATCTTTTATAGACTAGTACACCTCGAAATATAAATATAGTCAATAAGTCGTTGATTTAAAATGAAAAATAAGTCAAACAGTTACAGTTTTGAAATTAAAAGTGCAAATACTCAAAGTTCTAGAGTAATGAAGATATAAAACAATATTTTAAATGTTCTAATAATTATTTCTGTTAGAGCTATTAATTTTCAGGGATAATTAGAATTAAGGATAGAAGGATGAGTGAATTAGAATAGGCCCATTAGTTATGTACCACATAAAAGCAAGATAAAAATTATGTTTAGCTTCTCATTTTTTAAGAATTTTATTATGTAAATTTTGAGTGTTTTTTAAAAAGTTTTTTATGAAGATTTTTTTTTAAAAAAAAGTTGATACGTGTATCCGTCAGGATACGAGTATCCGAAACTTTAAAATAATTACCAAAAAAGTGGAAACTTTTAAAAATTGCAGATACGGTCCGGGAACATACGGTACGTACGGGTATCATAGAGTATCGGATATGAGAACGTTTCCGATACGCCGATACGACACTCTAGTGAAGTGTCTGTGCTTCATAGGACTTCTCTCGCATTACAGCGTCGTTTGGAAAAAATCTTTCTCTCTCTAGGGTTAGCCGCTAGTTCTGTTCGTCCGCTATCGGCTTGCGCCAAGGAGCGGGACTGGATTTTCCGGCCAAACATTTTGGATCTGTGACAAGGGATTCAGGAGGAGGGGCTGTTTTGGAGCATGGTGAAGCCGCAGTTCTGTTCGCTCCGGCAGGATTGTGGACGTGTTGGGATGACTTTGTCAGGCAAGTCTCTTCGGCGAAGCAGCGGGCGGAGGGTCGGCTTCTGGTAGGCGTGTAGGATCGGCGAGCAAGGTAATCGGGGCTTCCTTCCTCAGGTTTTTGTAAACGCATGTATGACAGGGAGTTGATCAACAAGAAGCGGAATGAGGAAGAAGATGCAGTATTGTTGGTCCGACCTCCTCCTGAATCGCCGTCACGGTGTGCGAAAAAGGCTAGGGTTGTAGGCTCTGGAGGGTGTTTGGCATCTTCTTGTTGGATGACGAAGCAAGACTTTTATTTTTTAGCATTTATTTATTTTGATTGTCTAGTTTTTGTTGTTTACTGTAAGGAATGGGGTAACCGTCTATGGCTTAGTTGTGCCCGTTAAGAGTTCAGCGAGTTATATTGCTTTTGTTGAGGTGATTAACTCTGAGTCTGGCTCTAGGGACGGCGGTTGTCAGGATTCTTTTTGTCGGATTACCTATTATCTGAATGATTTGTTATCAATTTAAGCCTATTTCTTCCACACACAAAAAGTATGTGTGCATCTATAAAAAAAAGTATTTGTGTGCCAATTAACCATATCATTTGATTGCAAATATTTTATAATAAATTATTAGTTGAATTGAAAATTGCGGTTCTCTTAAACTTGCCAAGTACTCAGTCCAATTGGGTTGGATTAAAATAGAAAGGGCAAAATTCATAAGAATATATATTCCCTACTTTTAGGGATTCTACGGTAATAATTCCTACCGAGAGTGTTCATAAAAATAATTCAAACTAGTAATAGTGTTTACATGAATAAATTGATGTGAATTCAAACTATTGTCCTTTTTAATATTCTCAACTCCTACCTCCACTTTTCCCTTCATCACCCTTCCTCTCAGGTAACACTTTTATCTTTGAACCAACAGTTAACCACATATATATGGCGGAAATGACGTTGTGATTAAATAATTTTTAGTTTGAATTGCCCCGAGAATAAGTTAAGAGTGGGGAAAAGAAAAATAGGAGTAGGGGTTGGGAGTAGTAAAAATACATTAGTTTGAACTCACCCCAATATTATCTTGCATGTAAACGCTATTGCTTGTTCGGATTATTTTTATGAACACTCTCCGTATGAATTGAATTATTATTGTAGAATCTGTAAATGTAGAGATTATTCTTATGAATTTCGCCAAAATATCATTATTAGATTTATCCAATGTTAAACTACATTGAAGAGTTGCTCCATCTTTGTTAGATTTATCCAATGTTAAAATATCATTATTAGAGTTAATCTAGTTTAAAGATTTAATTCAGATTTCGAACACTCAAAGTTAAACTACATTTAAGGGTTGCTCCATCTCGCTATGCTTTACTCAGCAGTCAGCATTGGTTTAAAAGGATGCCATCTATTAGGGCCGGACAAAATTGAACAGAATCAAACCAAAAATTGATCAAACTACGAACATAATTTTGGGACGGAGAAAGTATATTTTAATATAAAAAAGATAATTTGTGTATAATAGAAGGGTATAATTAAGATAAGCTTACGATAATTAAATAGCTGAAGTGAATCATTGAAATTAGTAGTATTTTAAATTAGTTGATTGACCTTTTATTCATTTCTCCAAAATTTCATTCAAACAAGGCTCGCTACCAGGGCCGGTCCTGAGAGAATACGGGCCCTGTGCAAAAAATAAAATGTGGGCCTTTTCCTAAAAATAGGTAAAAATATATGTAGTAATATAAGTGAAGATTAATTATAATGTTATAAGATTAAATTGAAAATTAATGTATCATTATCTAAAATACAATTCATAAATTTAAGATGTGTTTGATTGTTTGGAATTAAATGAATAACTTGTCAAACAAATATTTATATACAAAAATATAAATATAATTGATAAACGAAATGAATATTTCATACATATCTAATAGTTTTTTAATTTAATAATGGCATGAAATAAAAAATAGTTATTATTATGATTACATATTAATATGTAGTATATCAATAATTGTAGTTGATGATATAAGTGTATAAGGCTTAAGATCTTATGAGTTATATCAATAATTGTATAATACGTAGTATAAAAAAGCAAATTCGAAAAATGTTAGCATCAACCAAGTAGTTGGTCTGGTTGAGTGTCCTCACGCCTATGCAATATGCCAGGTTCGAAACCCCTTGGTGTTTAAATTTTTCAATGAAGCATACGAATCTTACCTATTGGGCTTTACTTATGGATAATAATAGAAGGACTAGTAAAAATTTGGGCCCTCAAAATTCATGGGCCCTGTGCGGTCGCACTGGTGGCACATGCCCTGGGCCGGCCCTGCTCGCTACATATGAAAAATCTGTCTAGATTTATCAAATTTCAGCTTAGAATAAGCTAAAATGTCAAACATAGCCTTAATTTAAGACCCTTAATCATATTTGAGATAACTATTTCTATGATAAGCATTGACCCATTCCTTATTGCGTTTAATTAAGTGATACTATCATTGTAATCTTGTCCACATCTTTAATTTATTTATTCATAATCTCCATTGTTATACAGTCCCATTGAAACTCTCCATTCTAATTATATTTATAAAAATGTACGTACACTGAATTATTATCAATAAAATACATTTCTCATCACATAATACATTGGTCATTGGTTATAATACACTAGTAGATGCAATATTATATTACTACCTAATAATATCTGACTTGGTAACTTGATAACATTATTATAACACAGATGAGGAATTGAACTTCATCTAATCCTCAAGGCCACATAACCCAAGACCCTATACCCAACCAACATGGCACCCAAAGCAGCCACATCCATCATCAAGTTTTCAATGCCAAGGCACTTAATCCCTTCAAAATCTCTAACCCTGCATTTCTTCCCAACTCCACACTCATAAAACTCATTGGCTGTGTACTGAACTCCAACCAAAAGTTTGTAAGTGTAATGACTAAAAGAGACATACTTCATCCACATGATGAATGGAGGCATGTTCTGAATGTAGTACCCACCAACTAACAAGAACACCAACATGACCACTGAAGAAAGAGTGGCAGCCTTCTTGACGTCCATTAGGATCGCGCCAAGTGTCAGCCCTAGGCTTTGAGAAACTAACACACTGAAAAGAATGATACAGAGAGTTGCTGAGAATGTGATGAGAGAAGGCTTTAGGCCTCCCATCCAGTAGGCTATGGTCACAAAGATGGTTGGAAGGATGAGTTCCATTGGTAGATCGCCCGCGGTTCGGGCGAAGTAGTAGGAGGAGAGGCGGTACATTCCTGAGGAGCGTTCTCTTGTTAGCATTGGCCGTTCTTGTGGGAATGCAAATATGGCGTTGAACATAGGGAAGAACCCCCAAAAGATGGAAAAGAAGAACAGCAACCCTACCTGTCAAGATTGGTTCTTTAAGAAGTTACAACGTTTAAGTAGGAAAGGTATGGTAGAATCAAAAGGTTTATGTAAAGAAAATAAAAAGTATAAACATAGCATTACTGTATTACCTCCGTATCACTCAACTATGTCTACTTTGTATTAGGTGTGAAATTAGAAAAGTAAAAACTGTGTGGTTGAGACTTGTGCAGAGAAGATAGAGAGAAATAAACCGAATCACAAATTCATTGCTTTGAAAGAAAAATGTCAAAAAATTTGGGACAAACAAAAAGGAAGGTCGACAAAGACAAGTGGGACTGAATACTACATAATACATACATATAAACGTTTGACTTGAACTTTTTGTGCACATTATGAGGCGGATAATTAATCATTGTATGTCAAATTAGTTCACACACAAGAAATTCATCTCAATAACCTGCATACGGTTCATTCACAATTATGAGATGTTTGGATCTGCTTCTTAAAACTGATTCTGCTCATTCAAGGAACAGAAGCAAATATTGAAGTGTTTGTATAAAAATGAAGAAGTACTTTATTGCTCCAAATTGCTCGTGGAAGCAACTTTTTAGAAGTTTGAGGAGACCGACTTTTGAAAAATTGATTCTGATTCTACTTGTACTTTTAAAAAAGAGGCAAAATCAATTCCAAACATGTACCCTCTATGTATTGTTTGAGGGCAGGCATTTGCTCCCACATCACTCACATTGATTTGTGTGCTCTTTTGTGGAATTTGTCGTTAGACAAATTTGCAACTTTAGTCCCGTAACTTTTAGTTGTTTTGATTATTAGTCCCGTAACTTTATTACACTTTCTAGTAGAAAGTCCATAAGAATGAAAAGATTTATTAATTATAGGACCAAATTTGTAAATGAATAAAGTTACACAACTAATTACAATCACAGACGAAAGTTGGTAGACTAGAATTTCAAATTTCTCATTAAGAAAATAAGAGCTAATATGGGTAAGAAGGAAATCGGATTTGGAACTGGCAATCATATCCATCCTGATTTAACGGGTATCATCAGTTTTAGTTAAATTCCTATTGTATGGGGGGCAGAAATCTAGCTGGAAGTGGCCCTTGTTCTATATCCGTAGGTGCAAAGAGTTCTTAATAAATGCATGGCGATGGGTCAACATTAAAGAAGGGTTTAAATATAATTATTGGTATTTAGATTAATTCAAAACCTGATCTTGAATGTGGTTAGTGTCAGAATGCCACCACAAAAGCCCAGCCAGGATAGAGACAGCCATGACTTGGAAAATCCTTAGAAAGGAATAAGATTCATGTCTTCTTTCTTTTAGTCCTCTGCTCAACAAAACCGTGAACTGCATCCACCAACTTGTAGTCCATTGTTCCTCGTTACCTAAGAACACAATAAACTCGATCTTCATTGATTGTTATTCCAATGACTGAACTTTTTAAAAAGTCCAAGACCTCTAAAGCTATCCCACATTTTTTAGATGAAACTCAAGTTTTAGGGGTGTTTTGTTCACATTCCTCTGGGTTGATTAATAAGATTAGAAGAGGAATTAAAGGAATTGTTGGAGGTATAGCCTCCTCCTAAGTGTGGTGTGTGAGAGTGTGTGTTGAAAGACCTGAGCCGGAGACGGAATCCGATCCTTACAGTGGTATCAGAGCGAGGTTCGCCGTCTGCCGCCGTACGCCGCCGTCGCCGCCGCCGTCGCCGCAGATTGGAGCCTGAAATCGATTTCTTACTGAAGTTCGAAATCTCGTTCGTAGCTCTCTGCCTGAGTGCCCGTCGTTAATTTCCGGAGGTCACAGAACAGAGACATAGCTCGCTGCATCGAAATCGCCGCCTGGAGATCAAGTCTGCCGCGGTGGTGCTAAAATCGTCGCCGGAGTTTTCTGCCCTTTCACTGGAGGGACCCGTCACTTGGAAGCTCGTCGCTGAAGCTCGACGCCGCAGGGACGCTCGCCTCAGGAAAGCTCGTCGCCGGTGTGCTCGCCTCTGGAACCGCTGGTCGCCGATGTGCTCGCCGGCCATCTTCCGATTTCCTTCAGCCTCGCGTAGATGATACGCAAGTAGCAGAGGGCTGGCCATTCTCGCGTAGATGGAATACAGGGGACTGAGGCTGCTTGGACTGCTGGGTCAGTCTAATTTAGGCTCTGGGCTATAGGGCCTGCTGCTTTTGGGCTTCTGGACCTGGGTTGGTAGTCTTTTGAGCTACTGGACCAACTGGAGCTAGGAGCTGAGGTTGCTGTTTTTTGGACTGGGCTGGAGCTGGAGCTTGGACTGGGCTGGAGTTGCTGACTTGGACTGCTGGAGGTGCTCAACCACCGGTCAACTGCCGGTCAACGCCGGTCAACGGTGGTCAACGCCGGTCAACTCAGTCAACATCTCTAGAAAAATCCCAATTTTTTTAAATTGGGTAGGTAAGGTCGAAACGCTCTCCTAGGGTTTCGCGAAGGTGAGTTTTTCGGTAAACTTCCTATTTGTTATATTTCGGTTTTAATTTAATTTATTCCCCCTCCCCGCGGGCCGCCGGTTGATTTAATCCCGGCCGCCAACCCCCCAGGTACGTTTTCTAAACTCACTCCTTTGTGGTAGTTTGTTTTAGTTAATTAATTAAATTACTTTGTGTTATTTAATTTAATTGTTATACGTAGGGGTGGTTTATTGGGTGGTAGAGGTAGAATTAATTAAATTTAATTTTTCTGCCCGGAATTGTTTATTTGCCATTATGTCCATTTTTTTGCTATGTGTTGCATGCTGCCCGGGGTTATTAAAGTGAATACTTTATAACCCGGGTTGGATTATTTTCTGTCATTTCTATCTGTTTAGCTTTGTGTTCCTTTGTGGTTGATACCATGGCTGCGAATCAGTATGGTATGCTTCCATTTAATGGAAAAACAGATTTTGATATTTGGAAACAGAAAATTAAGTGTGTGTTAATACAGCAAAAAGTTTTCAGAGCTGTCACTGGTATTTTCCTTGAATCAGAAGATAAGGCTAAGCAAATTGAAATGAACGAAACTGCTTGTTCTACTATTTACTTGAATCTGTCTGATTCTGTGCTTAGGAAAGTGGGTATTCTTGAGTCCGCTAAGGAGTTGTGGGAGAAATTGGATAGTCTCTATACTGATACCTCTTTGCCCGGGAAGTTGTTCTTACTAGAGAAATTCTTTAGGTTTAGGCTTGACCTGACTAAGGATATAGATGAGAACCTGGATGTGTTTAATAAACTGATACAGAATATCAAACAGGCAGGTGATAAACACATAGATGATTACACTCCCATAGTTTTACTTAATGCCATTCCCGACTCTTATAATGATGTTAAGTCCGCTATTAAGTACGGTAGGGATGAGATTTCATTAGACATTGTGGTGAATGGGTTAAGGAGTAAGGAATTAGACCTGAAGCATGCTAGGGGTAGTGCTAGTCAGTCCAGGGACTCCGGTGAGGCTATGTTTGTTAGGGGTAGATCTAAGGGTAGGTCTAAGAATCCTAAGCAAACTAGTCAGGGTAAGAACGCTAGTCAGCCTGGGAGGAAGAGGAGTAAATCTAGGAAGAGAGTGTGTTACAATTGTGGTAACACTGGCCATTTCATTAAGGATTGCCCCCACCCTAAGAAGACCGAGCATGCTAGTGTAGCTGTTGATAAATGTGACCTTGGTGATATTTTGATGGTTTGTGACCATGTTAACTCTGTGAGAAATTCCCTGTCTGAGCATGAATGGTTGATTGACTCTGGTTGTACCTATCACATGTCCCCTTTTAGAGATTTGTTTTCTACCTATGAATTATGTGATAGTGGCTACGTTTCCTTAGCTGATAATAAGAGATGCAATGTGCTTGGTGTTGGTGATATATGCCTAAAGTTTTCTTGTGGCTCTGTGTTTACCATTAAGAATGTGAGGCATGTCCCTGATTTGTGTCATAACTTGTTATCTGTTGCTGCTTTGGAGAGTAGTGGGTTGCAGGGAAAGTGGGGGAATGGTTGTATGAAAATCCTGAAAAACTCGCTTGTTTTGTTTAAAGCTGAGAAGGTGAATAACCTTTATGTGTGTCATGCTAAACCTTTTGCTGAGTCTGTGAATGTTGTATGTTATGATAAGACCTCTTTGTGGCATAATAGGCTAGGACATATGAGCAATAAGGGTTTAGATGTCATGCGTAGGGCTGGTTATTTTGGTAAGGACTCTGTGACTTCTGTGCCTTTCTGTGAATCATGTGTGTTGGGCAAGCAGCATAGAGTCAGTTTCCCTCCTTCCTCTTACCCTAATCTGTCTAAGTGTTTGTCTGTGCTTGAATATGTTCATGCTGATGTTTGGGGTCCTGCCAGTGTTCCTACCCACGGGGGTAGGAAATATTTCCTTTCTATTATTGATGACTTTTCTAGGAAGGTGTGGGTTTGCCTTTTAGAACACAAGTCTGATGTGTTTGTGAGGTTTAGGGAGTGGAAAACCCTAGTTGAAAACCAAACTGGCAGGAAGGTTAAAACCCTTAGGACCGATAACGGGTTAGAGTTTTGTAATAAGGAGATGGATAAGCTGTGCGTGGATTGTGGGATAAAAAGGCACAAAACTGTGCCTTATACTCCCCAACAGAATGGGATAGCCGAGAGAATGAATAGGTCTCTGTTGGATAAGGTTAGAAGCATGTTAGCTACCTCTGGTTTGTCTAAGAAATTCTGGGGTGAAGCAGTCACTACTGCTGCCTATTTGGTTAATAGGTCCCCGTCTGTCCCTCTTGGTGGTAAGTGTCCTGAAACCGTCTTTACCGGTAAGCCTCTTGATCTGTCTAACCTTCGGGTGTTTGGTTGTGCAGCGTATGCACACCAACAGGGTGACAAGTTGGATCCTAGGTCTAAGAAATGTGTCTTCCTAGGTTATCCAGAGGGGGTAAAGGGTTACAGGTTATGGGATAGAAACCAGGTAGGCTTTAAAGTGGTCCTTAGCAGAAATGTGGTGTTTAATGAAACTGATTTTCCTTGCTTGACCGAGTCTGCTTCTAATCCTGAGTCTAGGTCTGATAGTACTCCTAGTGAGGTGGAGTTTGTCCCTGTTGCTGCTAGTCCTTTATCTGTTGATCCTGTTATTTCTGATGATATTGTTATGCATGATTCTGATTCCTCTGAGCATGATAGTCCCACCACCTCGAGTGAGGTGGAGCATTTGCATGATACTGAGCATGATTTGCATGATATGGGTGCTGAATCTGATTTTCATGATAACAATAATTTGCATGAGTTGCATGTGGAGCCTAGTAGTGATAATTTGAATGATTATCAACTTGCTAGAGATAGGAGTAGAAGGGCTATCAGGAGAACTGCTGATAGTATGCCTGATTATGCTTTCATTGTGCATGATACTTCTATGTTTGCATTTTCTGTGTTTGAATCCCTAGAGCTGAATGAACCCAAGACCTACCGTGAAGCCTTAGGTTCCAAAGAGTCTCAGAAATGGATCAGTGCCATGAAAAATGAGATGGACTCTTTGAGAGTGAACCAGACTTGGACCCTTGTACCTAGACCTCCAAACTGTTCCGTAGTTGAGTGTAAGTGGTTGTTTAAGGTTAAGGAAGAACCTAGTGATGTTAGGTTTAAGGCTAGGTTGGTTGCGAAGGGGTTTACTCAAAAAGAGGGGGTAGATTATGCAGAAATCTTTGCTCCTGTTGTTAAATTCACCACTATTCGTATGATGCTTGCTTTAGTTGCTCACCATGACTGGGAAATGAAACAGATGGATGTAACTACTGCATTTTTGCATGGTGAATTGGATAAAACAATTTATATGACCCAGCCTGAGGGCTTTGTGGATCCCAAGAGAAGTGAGCATGTCTGTTTGCTTAGGAAGGCTTTGTATGGCCTGAAGCAATCCCCTAGGCAGTGGAACATCAAATTTGATAAATGCATGATATCTTTGAAGTTCCAGAAATCTGTTTGTGATCATTGCCTGTATTTCAAAAATACTTCTTCTGTGCCTGTATTTTTGTTACTCTATGTGGATGACATGCTGATAATTAGTCCTTCTCTGAATGCTATTAAAGATGTGCAGAAATGTCTTTGTGCGAATTTTGCCATGAAAGACCTAGGTGATGCCAAGAGGATCCTAGGCATAAACATTGTTAGGGATAGGAGTAAGCGTACTCTTACTTTGAATCAGATTTCTTACATAGAAAAAGTTTTGAGTAAATTTAATATGTTATCTGCTTCTCCTGTTAATGTCCCTATGGCATCTCACTTTGTGTTAAGTAAGGACCAGTCTCCCAAGACTGCTCCTGAAATTGAGAAAATGAAATCTGTGCCTTATTCCAGCGCAATAGGGTCGGTGATGTATCTTATGGTTAGCACTAGACCTGATATTGCATATGCGGTTAGTTGCTTGAGTAGATATATGTCCAACCCTGGTTTGCCCCATTGGAATGCTCTTAAGTGGTTGCTTAGATATCTGATTTCTACTGTGAGGCATGGATTAATTTTCTCTAAATGTGCTAGTGGTATTGAATTGATTGGTTATGTTGATTCTAACTATGCAAATGATAGAGATAACAGGAAGTCGACCACTTCTTATGTTTTTACTTTGTGTGGCTCTTGCATTAGTTGGAAGTCTCAACTACAGCCTATTGTGGCCCTTTCTACCACTGAGTCCGAGTATGTTGCAGCCACAGAAGCGTTTAAGGAAGCCATCTGGCTCAAACGCCTTGTCTCCGAAATTGGGTTTCTCAAAAAGGGAGTTACCATTTTCTCGGATAGCCAATCGGCTATCCAACTTTGCAAAAATCCTGTATTTCATGATAGAACTAAGCATATTGATGTTAGGTTCCATTTCATACGTGATATTGTTGATGCAGGTGGAGTCAAGCTGTGCAAGATCCCGTCGGAGTTTAACCCCGCGGATATGGGTACCAAGTGTCTTTCTGCTGAGAAGCACTTGTCCTGTAAACGCGTGTTAAACTTTGATTGTGGATAACTGTGGGTTGCCTAATAAAGTGTTTGCCCGTTGTGTCTGTTGATATTCCGGGTGACCCGGCGATGATGAGTCTTGTCACAACTTTGTATTGTTACTCTACACCACCTAGGACCAATAAGGTGGAGAATGTTGGAGGTATTGGTCCTACCAAGGCCTCCCTTCCACTTTATTTGTTGAGGCTTGCACACTCTATTTTATTCTCCCTTTGGATACCTTTTCTTTGGTATATATCCTGATCAAATATATACCTATTTTGAGTAGTTGACTCAATCCACTTGGCTGGCCCCTTCTCTGCTTCCTGTCCGCTGCACTCCTTGTCTATGTATCATGTGAGGCTTTTTTGTATAGCTTCACCCGTGACCCATTTGTCTTGGTCTTACATGTGACTTCCTATCTGTCAGCTAGCCTACTATTTAGAAGCCTTGCTTCTCCCTTTGTTGAGCAGCCTGCGTGAGTATATCCTTTGTGTGAGAGAGCAGAGCTCACTTCTTCTTCCTCCTTTGTGTGAGTGGAGAGAGGTCTAAGTGGAGAGAAAAATAAGTGTGTGCTATAGCCTCCTCCTAAGTGTGGTGTGTGAGAGTGTGTGTTGAAAGACCTGAGCCGGAGACGGAATCCGATCCTTACAGGAATTATGATTCTATTGTTTGGTTCAAGGTTTAAGATTAGTAGATATCCATTGGGGTAGTACGTGTGACTACTTAGGTAATGTACTCTACAATCTTTAAATTATGTATTCATAATTATTTAGTAGTATCTTTTTTTGAGTCATAATTAATTATCTTAAAAAGTCTAATCTTGCAATTTTACTATCTCAATCTATCACTTTCTTACGTTTCTGCAATCTCACATTGCCTAGGTAATATCATTACTGAAGTATCGTACATTTGAGTGTGTGAGTGAGCTAGTTTTGATGTTTGATAAATGAATTTTTAAAACAGCTAGCTTAGATGTTTGATAAATGACTTATTTGATCATATTAAAAATATAAAACTTAAACAATTAGGAGTGTATGAGTCATATTTTAAGAAGAAAACTTTATTAAATTAATTTATTAACATTATATCAAAATGAAGCAGAGATATTGAAATACTTCTTGATGGCAAATTGCTTCTCGGCCTAGTTGAGTCATAGAGACTATTGTCCATATCCTCTTTGCTGGCATTGAAACTCTTAGAGTAGGAGGAAATCAAGAATTTTTTTATTGAATTTTGGTGGCCACCACTGTCTGATCTTCCAACCTCATGTTCTTCATCCTGTCTTGTTTCAGGAGCTATACCTGTATAATATATGCGTTTCATTACCACGGAATGAAATATATTTGAATCAATTCCACTTTTGGTCTTACGAGTTTTATGTCAAGAGAATATTACCCGAAATAGGACAAAAGGTTTGAAAATTCCAAAATAGGACTAATTACTGTCATGTTTTGGCAGTACCAGACTTCAAACATGACAGTATTTTCCAAACTCGACAGTAATTATATTACTTCTATTTTGGGAATAAATAATATGACAATCTTATTTTGAAATTTTCAAACCGTTTTAGTCCTATTTCAGGAACTTTCCCTTATGTCAATTCCACATTTAGTCCATGTCTTTTACTTTGTCCAGTTTTGATACATGACTATTGTGTTTTCGTTCATATATAGTCTTTCCGGTGATTAAAATCGCGTAAGAAAGGACCACAAATGGTCAAAAAACATTAGGCATGTACCAAAAATGGACAAAGTGAAAGACGGGAACTAAAAGTGGAATTGACATAAAATTAGCAGGACCAAAACTGAAATTATATGACATCTTTCATGTATCATCATGTATAACATCTTCATACTTTAATTGTTAATGAAAACTAATTATGTCTATTCATCTTCTTTTTTTGTCTTACTTAAGTTGAAAATCATATATCCTTCCATTAAATTTGTTTTCCGCACTTTTTTTTTAGGTTTTTAGGTCTTTTTTCAAGTTGTTTTTTTAGCGCCACACTTCGGAAACTATATTGAAATTTTTTAGTTCTTTGATAACTATTTTTTATTAAACACGTAACATTTGATTTTCACGTACTCAATTCTGTAATAATTAAAATAAACAAGGTCATAGTTACGTTTCTGACTAATTGACTAAATTGTGTAATAATCACTTTATTCTTTTCATAATTTATCAATGTAGGACTTCAAAAACTAGCTGAAGGGGAATACTTTGACTATCTTTTACATAATTTTTCTTGGTTTATTAATAATACATATTCTAAATAACTAATAAGTTATTTATTATTCGATCAATACATTCAGTGAATTTAATCGCTTTAGTCAAATTTTCGTCAATTTGAATTGATTAACCTAATTTCACTAAAATTATTACAGTTTTTTTTCATTTTATTTTGATTGTATATTTGGAATTATTTTATTTTGAAATAATAATGAATTTTGAGGTCGAGATACTATTTAAGTAAACAAAAAATTAAAATTGCCTCCCCACCATAGATCATCTCGGTTCCACTACCAAAAGTTGTAACGTAGATGATGACCAACTTGCCAAGACGTGTCATTTTTATTGTCTGGTGAGTTCACAATGCATGATGACTATGCAAAAAGGGAAATCAACTCCAAATGCATACGTAAGTTTGAAATCTAAATAGGACCATGTGTTTCACAAAAAGGTTGAGGTAAATGCATGGGACCTAATTAAAACCTGTGTTATAAAACAATTTGGAAGTAGTACGTATTTGAATAGTTTATAGCAGATTATAGTTCAATAACATTGTCCAAATAGGACCATGGACTGATCAGACGTTACTATGTAAAAATGGATAAGACCTCTCTACAAATGTGATTTAAGTTTAATTTAGTTGCCCGTGCTGATCTAATATACTTGGACCTCAGCTTTTTTTTCAATTCCTATTATTCATTGATGTTATCATTGGCACTCAAAATCACATCAAACAAAGAGCTAAAAAGCAAGCTCAAAAGTCCTGAATGTCTCCTAGTCCCACACTCCCACTCATGCAAAATTTCAAATCACTATATTGCTAAAGTGACTATATTTGGATCAAATTTCTGCCCCTTGCTTAATTTGTTCAATAATGTAGACCAGTTCAAAATACATTGCTACAGAATTTTATTCCCGTAGAAATAGTTTTCTTGTGAAAAACACGGGTTTAGGGGCATGACATGAAAATTTACGGGTTTTCCCCTTAAATATGAATAAATTGAAGTCATTTTCTAAAAAAGTTAATTAATACTTTTAAAATTAATGAGATAGTATGTTTAAAATGTAAGATGTCATTGTCAGATTTTAGGTTATTAACGTATGTCACTTTCAGATTTACATGTTACTAACGAATGTCACTTCCGTCGTGAAACATGCCATTGTTACTGTCGGAAAATTTTCCGGTGACTGGGCACTTCCGTCGTGAAACATGCCATTGTTACTGTCGGAAAATTTTCCGGTGACTAGGCAATTGTTGGGGGGCTCGGGCAGAGATTGGATACAAGTTACAATGAGAAAGAAATCGGATCAATTAAACAAAAGTTAGTCATATATTTGGAAAAGAATAAAATTGATCACTTTTTAGTGTTTCAAAAAACTATAGTAATATTTGTTTCCTATTTCCAATATTTACCTTACATTGATGCAAAAAAAAACATAAAAAAATGAAACTCTTAGAGAAACATAGAGTTCTTTGTTACAAGAGTTCACAAATTATTTTCTCATATCAAACAGAATCAAGATCATGAGAACTTTTCCGGATCTGCTTATTTTTCTTGATTTTCCTGTGCATTAGGATGTTTTCTTTTGGACTGAAATTTGTTGGTTTGATCTAGTCTGGTCCGGTTTGGTAAATGTCTGGTCTCTGTATATTTTATAACTATGGAAGTCTGGTCTGGTCTGGTCTGATTTGGTCTGATCTGATCTAGTTTGGTCCGGGATTGAAAACAGTTCAAAAGAAAACATTCTTATAGAAACCTAAGAGTCCAAATCTAAAATTAAATGTCATTTATACAATTATACTTCGTACTCCCTTTTGTTGAAAAAACATTGCCATGCATATGTCACAACCGGTCAACCGTGAACTATAACTTAATTAAAACTTGTTTTAACATACAGAGCCCGTTTGGTAGCACGAAAATCGGCTGATTTGGCTGATTCTGTTGAAATTTATGAAATTCTGGCTAAAGTGACTGCATTGGCTGGTTCTGCTAATTTAAGAAAAAAATATTTTTAAAATATATTTTATTAATAATATAAAGAAAAAATTATATGTAAAATAGCTAAAATGGTCATCTACGGTAACTTCAACCAATACAGCCAGAAAAGTAACTTCAACCTTACTTTTTCAGCTTATTACACAATCCAGCGTGCGAAAGCAAAAATTACGTGTTTGGTGAAAAAGTTGGCTGATAAGTCTGATAAACCGAAAAACAGTGTTGCCAAACGGTCTCTATATGTTAAAACAAGAGTTTAATTTGTGACTTTCCTGCCCCCAGTCATAGTCTCAAGAAGACAGGAATGCTTGAAAGATTTCAAAGATCTAAAACTTAAGAAAATAGTCAAAATACTACGTATAATTTAGGTTTGGATTATATTACGACTTTGTTCTCTAGTTGTTATGACTAAATGATCTTTTTACTGTAAAAGAATAAAAAAATGAAACTGTGTACACCATAAGAAAATGCAGAAAAGTATATCTTTGATCAATAATATGGTCGTAGTTAGGAATTCGGGTTAGCCACGATTGAACATATATTGTTGTAATAGGTTTAAAGCAACGGCTATGATCGAGCCAGAAAAATGACTCAGAGGGGTCGAAAGTCAGCATTTAAACAGAATGAAAATAGTGGATCGTTTTTAAACAATGTTCGAGTTGAATATTTCATATGCAGTTTAGATAAATAGGCACTCGTAGCAATACGATAGATTGTCGTTGCTCTATTTTTGAGTCGTGTCACGTAAGTATTGAGTAAATTATACCATATTTTTAAAATTTGTGAAACTTATCTGTAGTATGCATCAAATTATGCTGATTTTAAGTTTAGATAGTGCTGATTTTCCACAAGTCATAATTTTTTATTCGTAATGAATTACGGGGGCCATAATATATCAAATCGAAGATATTTCAGAGCTTTATACTCTCAAACTTTCATCGGGGTCATCTGACCACCCTGACCCCCCCCCCCAACTCCACTCCTGGCTATGATGTCTCAAAGAAGAAAATAAAAAAATTACACTGAATTTTTAAATAAATATATTGCATTATTGGACTTCAACTCATCATAATTCATACGGAGTAATATAGATCCGCTCCTAGTTTTAAAGATCAAATTAAGGACGGAGTATATACAATCTCACTTCGTTGACAACACACGACTTTCATCATTAATACAATCATTGAGTATTAGTACAAATTATTAAAAAAGGAAAACTTACATAAAAAAATTATAAATATTTATATGGAGTAATAAACAAAAAGAAAATGACCACTTAAATGACTAAAACTTGTGTTTCTGAGCAGCATATGACATGCATGAGGGTTTACGATTGCATCATACTTTAAAAAAAGTGATTTTTAATGTAATTTTGGAGAATGTGTTTAATACTTACTCCGTTCTTTTTTAGTTGTAACGGTCCACTTTTCACGTTTGTCAATGCATAAGTTTGACCATTAATATCTTTTATTTCTTATTAGTTAAAAAATTAAAAAAAATCATATTTTGAAAATTTAGAATGAGAAGAATTTAATAATATTTTTTAAAAATTTAATTTATAATATATTAATAAATAAAATATAGTCAAAAGAGAATATATGAATCGTGCAAAAAGTCCAATGTTGCAACTAAAAGAGAACGGAGGTACTATTAAAAGTTAATACGGAGTAGTGTTTTTGAAAACAAAAATGTTTATGAAAAACTAAAAGTTGTAGTGTTATAAAATAAGTGTTTTTTGTATAATAGAAAAAGTTAAAAGTAGTTTAAAACACATATCTACGTGTTTCCAGTTTTTAGCTTTTATGTGTTTAATTTAAACAAAAGTTTCATTGATTTCAACTTTTTTAATTGGCGAAATTCATACCAATAATCCATACTTTTAGCGGTTCTACAATAATAATCTCTATCGAAGATGTCTATATAAATAATCCATACTCATAAGCCAAAAGGTGAAGCATTTTTTTAATTTTTTGCACTCCCTCAAGTTTCTTTTTCTTTCTCTTATTTAGTTTCGAATGCGTTTGATCATTTCTCTTAATTTGTATACACTGATACACATAAATCAAAAAGATTCAATGAGGTTAGCATGAATATCTCAAAAGTCAAAGTAAAATCAGAGTGTCATAGTGGCATACCATTGGCAAGATCAAGCAGAAAATCAGCAGGATTCATGAAGCTAAATGCAGGAACAAATCCCATGGCCCCAAAATACTCCATCACAGAGCTTCCCCTGCCACTATAAATGGGGCAACCATCGGACAAAACCAGTACCTTATCAAACATCCTAAACAACCGGCTCGAAGGTTGGTGGATCGTCGTGACGACGGTCCGACCGCCCCGAGCCAGCCACCGCAATGTCGCAACGATCCTCTGAGCCGTGGTCGAGTCGAGCCCCGAAGTCGGCTCATCGAGAAGTAACAAGCTCGGGTTCACCAGCATTTCTTGCCCAATGCTGACCCTTTTCCTCTCTCCGCCGGAAATCCCCCGGAACAAAGCGCCGCCGATCATACTGTTCCGGCACCTCGTTAAGCCGAGCTCCCTGATCACCAGCTCAGCTTGCTCTGTTTTCTCTGCTTTTGAAAGCTTTTTCGGTAGCCGTAACAGAGCAGCGTAAGTCAACGTCTCTTTGACCGTTAAGTGAGGGTATAAAACGTCGTCTTGGCTAACGAACCCTATCTTCCGTTTCATTGAGCTCGAAAGCGGCTGGCCGTTGTAACTCACGGTGCCGGAGATTTTCCCCGGTAACCTTCCGGCCAGTGCCGTTAGTAGAGTCGTCTTTCCGCTTCCGGACGGGCCAAGCATTGCCAGCAGCTCGCCGGGGTTAACGGTCCCGCTGACGCCGTTGAGCAGGACTCGAGTTTTGTTCCGTTTAGACGGCGAAGAGAAACAACTCCCCACATTGCTTTCTGTCTTGATAGAGTATGCCACGTCCTCAAACTGCAAGATGAAAAGTTACTAGTAGAATAGTACAAAAGAAAAATTTAAGGTGCTTCTTTAGAATTGCACTATGTTACTGGGCAATTCGGTTTACGGTTCGGTTTTCTTCGGTTTTGGTTCGGTTTCGGTTTCTTCGGTTTGGGAGAATGTGTAGCAAACTAAAACTATTTGTGTTTCGGTTTGGTTTCGGTTCGGTTCGGTTTACCAAAGTAAAAATTGTTAGGTTCAATTTAGTTCGGTTTCTTATGTTTATTAATTTATTTGATCAAGTTCTATATTCTACAATTACAAAATGAAAGTAGCTAGTTGTCCATATCTTCTTTTATTTACTCTTTAAATAAAATGTAAAAGGAAATAAAATATAGAAAAAGAAATACTCCGTATTAAAATATTACTACGTATAAATTAAAACTTCTAATAACATCTTCTCAATCATTAAAAAAAGATTCATTTCCAACAATAAATAAATTTATACTGCATAGTTGATTAGCATGCATTTATAATATCACATAAAATATTCAAAAAAAACTAAATGAGTTAGTGATCCAAATTAAATGTTGTAATATTCACACTTTTATTCAAATGAATCATGTAAAATATATAAATGCAATTTGCTAAGGTTATCGCCGAATATCTTTTCATATAGGTAGAGTACAAACATAACAGATATAAATATGTCGTATTAGGTAACTTTGTCATAATTAATGTATAAAATGTGTAAAAGTTAGAATGATATATGCTAAATTTGTATTTTTCATGTCTAAATTATTTATTTATATCCTAAAGATGAAGAGTGAAAAAAACATAAAGTATTTATATATAAGACAAGTTGTTCGGTGTTCGGTTCGGTTTGCGGTTTTTCGGTTTTAAACCAAACCAGACCAAACCATTCGGTTTGAGCAAAATGCTACCAAACGGTTTATTTAAGTAAAACCAAACCAATCCAAACCACCAATTTTCGGTTCGGTTCGGTTCGGTTTGGTCAAACCAAACCATTTTGCCCACCCCTAATTGTTACTCATAATTTGGTTGGTGAAACAAATCATTTTGGTAACTTGTTATTGAGACTTAATTGTATTTAGGATGTTTTCCTTTGGACTAAAATTAGTTGGTCAGGTCAGGTCTGATCTATTGACGTCTGATTTGGTCTGGTCTGAACTGATTTGGTCAGGTAAATGTATGGTCTTTGTGTATTTTATAACTATCGAAGTCTGATTTGGTCTTGTATATTTAAATCTAGTCTGGTGTGGTCCGTAACTCCGTATAAGTCTGATTTGGTCTGGTCTGGGACTAAAAGCAGTCCAAAAGAAAACATCATTATATTTTTTCTAAAATGGTTCTAATATCTTAAGACTTCAGAGTAACACAAAATTTATATGATCACTATATAGATTCATTATTATGATACTAAGATGATTTAATCAATGAGCATTAGAAAAGATCGATGAATCGAGATGTAACTATATAAATACCTTGAGGATAACTGTGTACGAAGATGTTTGAAGAACTGAAAGATGAGATGGACTCGAAAGGTGTTGGTTTGGGATATCACTATTAGAACAAGGACTAACATTGCTTTTGGAACTTGTTATGGAAGGATCAAGTTGTTGGACTTTTAGGGCATTAGGCGATGAATTGCCGTGAACAATATTCTCTTCGTTGGTGTGCAACATTTTCAATATTGATAAGTGAATTTAGTTAACAATGACAAAAATACTGCATGATGTGAAAACAAGAGGAGTTTAAATGGTTGAACTGAACATTTGAAAGGAGTAGTCAACACTTAGAAGTAATATAATGACATAGGAGAAATAAACAGAAGTGGGGATGGGAATTTTAAAGGAGATGTGTGAATTTTAATTTGAATGGGGAATACAATTAAGTGTTGGGACTTCGGGAGTAAACATATATAGGCTGGTGTTGGAGATGGAGAGACCCACAAAAGTGTACGTTGTTGGCCTCATGGAGCACCTTTGCCACCTTGTTAGTTGTATCGCACTTGAATTATTTATCTTTCATTAATGAAATGTGTGTATTTATAAGTCTATTTGAATTATTTTTTAAAACCAATAATTAATACTATCGTATACATTAAATGATAACAAAGAAACATGTTAATGAAAATGTAAGACTACAACGGGATGAGACATAGAATGCAAATAATCCCACGAATCTTTCCAGATCGTTAACCCCACAATATTGTAGTTTAGTCTAAGTATCTAATAGTCGTGCTACTCTTTTTGTTACTTCATAGAAAAATTGAAAAATTACAAATAAAATATCATGTTTCACCAGCCAACGGGAAATAGAAAACTGTTTTGACCAGGATTTGATCAGCTACCCAAAAGGAGATAAGTTGAATGCTAACTTCCTCTAAGAGCGAGGCGGTGGTTGAGGAAGAGGGTAAGTAGTTGAGGCTTCACAAGAACTAGGTTGGACCCGTCTTGCTAGCCTTAAATAATTAAAAATGGTCAGTCGATCAATTATTCTAACGAGGAACAAAGAGTCTCTAGATGTTTATAGAAGAAGAACAAATTTCAATGACCTGAAGTGGACATAACTCTCGGCAAAATAATAAACCAGGTCAAAATAAGAACTCAAGAGAGAACTGAACTAAAAAAGAGCTAAAAGGACAGGTGTGGCTATTAAAGAGAGAGTAACTTATAGGTCAAGTGTCATAAAAGGATGGCTTCTCCCTAATTCCTTTTTATCTTTCAATCTTTACCCGTAATTCGAAGTCTTTTTTTAGGTTTGTGTTAATTTCCGTAGCCCCTCAGCCTGAAAATTGTGTCATTTCTAAAACATAATGATAATACGAAGAGTCATTTATATCGGTCATTTATCCGTAAATATGACAAAATCGGGGGAAACAATACATCAGTTAATTAAAGATAACATTGTTTTTTAATTCGGTTTGCTTCTCTGTAGCCACTGGCCACCCCTAACATTTGAATTTATGGCCAAAGTCCCAAACTGAATTAGTGAAAATTGAAAAAGAGAATATCACATTAGCACTAAGCAAAGATGCTTATAAACTTATTTGATGATTCAAATAACCAAAACCCAAAGTTGAAAACTTTTGATAGTTGGAATTCCATACTGGTCAAATTTGGATCAATGTTACAGTATTTTAAAGAGCAAAAGCTAAACCTTTCTTTACTACGCCGGACAAAGCCAACTATGGATGACGAAAATGAGTCCCTGCAGGTTTAGATAAACTAAGGTGGCGTCATTTCGTGCACGCAGGTTACAGCTACATTACATTTTCCTTGAAGATCGACTTTAATCTTTTGTTACATAGTCTGTTGGTACTTCACCAGACAATTAGCTAAAGATTGAATTAATTCCACTTTTGGTTCTACGAGTTTTGTGTCAATTCCACCTTTAGTCAACGTCTTTCATTTTATCCATTTTTGGTACTTGACTAATGTTTTTTAACCGTTTGTGGTCCTTTTCCGGCGATTTTAACCATCGGAAACAATGCCGGAAGGACCATATATGGGCGAAAACATAATAGGCATGTACCAAAAGTGGACAAAGTGAAAGATGTGGACTAAATGTGGAATTGACCTAAAACTCGTAGGATCAAAAGTGGAATTTATTCGCTAAAGATTAGAGGGTGACTATCAAAAGATCTACTCCGTATTTAAGAATCACTGTGTGATTTTCCATACGTTTCTGGACCGGACTACATGATTGACATTTAAAATCTGTCAAATTATCTGACACCACTTTAAAATTTATAATGTTACTTTAAAGTTAAGAAATTATCCTAAATAGGATCAAAACATAGAAGAAAAGCCAAAATAGGACTTGTCATGTTTTATTCTCATTATAGGACTCATACGTTCCTCTTCCATTTTTTTACACTTTCTGCAATGTCCGAAAAGTCCCTGTCGCTCAATCCTTCTCTTATTCCTCATCTCCACCTCCAACATTAAGCGGGTCCTCATGACCTCATCGCCGCCTTCGACATTTCTTCTCCAGGGATGTTCAAAACTCCCAATTACTTCCTTTGCTCATCTTCTAATCTCTCTGTACCTCCATCTCAGTTTTCTTTATCGGAGATTTCACCGACCTATCTCTTCTCACATTTCTAATTGAATTGGAAACACCTCTGCATCCCCCCATCTTCTCCCTTTCCTCTTCCGTTGAGAAGATTCATCTTCTAAATTAAAATGATGGTGATGCCAACTTTAATTTAGAGTTTCAGGTATTACTCTTAGCTTCCTGCTATTTCTTTTCCCACTTCTTCTTCTTCTTCTTCTTCTTTTATTTTTAAAAAATGTTATGTTTGATATCAAATTGTCATGAACATGACATTTACAAATGTATAAGACATGTCAGTCGCTTCTTCTTATTTCACTTTATTAAAAATGTCATGTTTTTTTATGAGAATGTCATTATTACTCTGTGAAAATGTCAAGTTTTGCTTCAAATTTTCAATAAAGATGTAAAGTGAAACTTTCATGAAGATGACATTTACAAATTTATAAAACATGGCAGTCTCTCCTTTCAGTTTATTAAAATTGTCATGTTTATTATGAAAATGTCATGAGAATGTCATTATTTACTCCGAAAATGTCAAGTAAAACTGTCATCTTAAATAAATGTAATGACATAACAGTGACATTACTTTCAAATTAGTGTTTAATAAAACAACTATGATGACATTCTCAGATTCAAATGATGAGAAAAATAATGTAGACATTCAAAAGAAGAACAAAAACAAAAAAACATGGAAGAAGAAAACATATACTTCCTATATGAGTTTGAGAAGAAGTAAACAGAGGAGGTGGAGGAAGATGAAGGGGGAGGGGGGGGTGGGGGAGCTTACCTGCAGGGCATGTAGCAGAGCTATCATCGTCGGCTACATTCATCGCAGCCATCATCGCTACACAAACTAATCGCAGTTGTGAAGAAAGTGAGGGAACGCGTAAATCAAGGGCAATTTTGCGATTCAACCTTATTTTTAGTCCTATCGATTTAAACGGAAAACTAATGGTCTTAGTTTTGCAATATTGATATCTTTTAGTCCTATTTAGGCAAATCTCTCTTTAAAGTTTAAACCATATCAAACTTAATTACATAAAGGTCTAATGCCAATTGCCAAAGGCATGCAATATTGAATTATTATTATTAAATACGAGTAATTGAGTAAGAAAATGACACGGACTTGCGGAGTATTTCTTCTGAGTTTTGTTTATTCTACTCATATCATCACTTTCACAGAGTTAACAATTACGAGCAAGAATATAACAAGGTTAGAAAAACAGCACAATCAATCAACTTCAACCAAGCAGCCCTCAAGTTTGTGTTTTTTCCTTCCTATCTTGTGAACATAATTGTGTTGACTGTGTCCATCATATTTCCAGAACGTATATCAAAACAAAAAGTTAACAGGAAAATAAGAGCAAAAATATAAGAGGAAACTAGATGATACTACATTAATTCATGCTTTAAAAATAAATACATAAATAACTAAATAAATAATACAGAGTAAAAAATAATTAATTAATTAACTAACTGAGCAGCAGGTTAATCAAAGGAAGAAAGAAAATAAAAAACAACAGCCATAACTGGAGCTAGGAAACGTTCTACTGCATGTACTCCGTTAAACTCTCACAAGGGAAATGCAAGTGGTAAATTTAATACGTAATGAAACACATCCTTGTGAAGAACCGAATTCAATAACCGCATGAATGCATAATCATGTCCTAAGCGCATATATATGGATGTACATACCTACTAAACCAGGCATTCACTATTTTTAATATAACAAGATACTTTGAACATAACCTCATGATGTTATCATCCATGCTGTTATATGCACATGGTACTAACAATATTCATGAAGTTTTTGCAACCCCGAGTGTCGGATTGCATCCTCAGCTCATCCTGTGTTCCTCATCCCAGCAGCAATTCCATTGATGGTGATTAGCAAAGCATCCCGTAGTTTGTTATTATCGTCGTCACTCCTCAACCTCTTCAAAATCTCCACCTGAAGCATGTTCATAGGGTTCAGATACGTAAGCCTGCTCTCTATCAGCCTCCTAAGACTCTTGTTGTTCTCCGACAGCTTCTCGTGTCCCGTCACCAACAACACGTAAGCCTCTGTCTTCATTAGTTCACTCCTCAGCTCCGAACCAAGTGCTCGTCGGTCTGGAGACACCAACACTTCGTCATAATGCTTCGCCATAGGACTGTCTGCCTTCCCCAAAACCATCTCTATAAGATCCACGGTCGATTGAAAGAACGGCCAGTCTTTATACATTTCCTTTAAGTCATCGGTGTGTCCTTTATCGCAAACCCCCTTCAGTCCCGCCCCGACCCCAAGCCAAGCAGGGAGGACGAAGCGAGTTTGGGTCCAGGCGAATATCCATGGGATTGCGCGGAGATGCCCTATGCCAGCTGAGCTCTTTCTTCTAGACGGTCGACTTCCTATGTTGAGGTACCCAAGCTCCGCTTGGGGTGTGGCCTCATTGAAGTAAGTGAGGAACTCTGGGTTTTCATACACCGTGCTTCGGTAACTGTTGCAACTGATGTTTGAAATGTCTTCCATTAGATTGCGCCACTTTTGTTCCCTTGGCGGTTGTGGTGGCCTCAAAGTGGCAAGTAGTACTGCTGTTGTGTAGATCTCAAGTTGCCTAACGGCCACCTGAGGTAGTCCGAATTTCGCCTGAACCATTTCTCCTTGTTCTGTTGACCGGAGTGTTCCCTGTCAATTTAGCAAAGAAATTCAAGTTGTTGTCTAAGTAGAGGCAATATCAAGTCAGAAAAACTAATGCTGTAAAAAGCCATGGATGGCAGATTCGGTGAAATTATGGGGATCTAAGCGGGAAAAAAGATAGAAATCCAAGGATTTCGACAACAGTTGG